TCTGCAAGTTTGCGAATTGAAACTTTTGTTTTTTATAATTAACATTTCTAACTTGCAACACTTACCATAATGATTATGCTCCCACTAGCATAACAATTAGTTCTTTAATAGCATGACACTTATGCTCCCACTAGCTTTGACATGTACTAAAAAATAAGTTGGATTTCTAGAAGTCAATACTTGTTGATTTTCTTAACAAAGTTCAGATTTCTGATACTAGATGCTTCGATAAGACTTTATCTAGGCTTCTCAAAGTCATACATTTTTCCTTAGATAGATCACATGTGTGTCTAACTGTGACATCCCCTAATTTCCCGGCCAGAAAAGACCGATTTAATTTATGCTTTTTAAAATAAAGACAGAGAAATCCTTTTAAAAGATATTGCGGAATTGGTCCCCAAAACAAAACATGATAAAAGTTTGTCAAAACCTTTCTTTAAGAAATATATAATTTCATTTCATATCAAAACCTCGGGATGTCATGTTCCGATACAGATCAAAAGCATAAACAAGACATTATAAGCCTTACAACGGTTATTTACAACTACTGGCCTATAATCCAAAAATCTCTCATCATCCTCCGACTATGCTCGGGGTCCACTACCTGTAACATAAAAAGCTGAGTGGGTCAGGCTTGGGAGCCTGGTGAGCATATAGGGTTTTCAACCCACAATAATAATAAACTTATTAAGTTCATCAATCAACAATAACCCTAATTACCCATTCCCGTTATCCTCACTTTACGTCCCTAAACACTCGTTTTCTCATACTTCCTACCACCACTCAAGAAAGAGTGGTTAAGAGGCCATGGGAGGTGGTGTCGCTGGTAAGAGGTGGTAGGAGGAAAGATAGAGTAACGATGCAAGGAGGGGTGGTGGCAGAGCCATGATCGGAGGAGATAAAGTGAGAGATGTTGCCTCAAAGGGATAACATGAGAGAGAGAGAGAGAGATTTTCTTTTTTAATTAAAAAATAAGAAAATATATACAAGGAATTAAAAAATAATTATTTATAATCCATATTAGTGTATTCTTTTGGGTGTCGACTAAATTTATAAAAACTCAAGTTGGGTAGGGATTTGTTTTTTGAGAAAATGACAAAAATATCCAAAAATACTAATCACTTTGTGGAAAATAGCCAAAAAAAATTGAAATTGCAAAAATGGCCACAAAAATCGCAGATGGGAATGGTCCATCTGCGATTTGCACATTCCATCTGCGAATGTACAAGTGGCTAAAGCACAAGTGTGCTTTAGCCACTTGTACATTCGCATGTGGATTATTTTTTATAATTTTTTTTTCTATATATATAGGGCAGGGCAGACTTAAATCGCAGATGGACACAGTCAATCTGCGATTTCCTCTGTATTCTATCTGCGATTTTACGAATTTTTTTTTTTATTTTGAATATCAAATCAATTGGTTTGACTACGAAATAATCTTACTATATATAAACTTTTGTAGAAAATTATCAGTTTAATTGTTATTTGTTTAGGAAATTTCATATTTTCGGGATTGTTGAAATAATCGTCCATTTTCTTCAAGAAATCGTCAAAAGGAATCCCCGAGAGAGAGAGTTTTTCTATATTGAAGAGTGAAAAATGAGGAAAAAAAATCATTTTATAGATTTTCACAACCAAAATCGCAGATGAACAGTACAAATCGCAGATAGACTTTTCCATCTGCGAATGTACAAGTGTCTAAAACACAACTGTGCTTTAGGCACTTGTACATTCGCAGATGGAAAGCCAAAATCGCAGATGGGGCATTTCCATCTGCGAATTTAGTGGTTATTTTTGCAATTTCTATTTTTTTTTTGCTAAATTTGTAAGGTAATTAGTGTATTTGGCTAATTTTGTAATTTTCTCTTGTTTTTTTCATAGTGTTAGTCATATGAAAATTTCTCATTAATTTAATTATCATCGGAGAACGAGTGAGATGGCAAACGGGCAACAAGCTGCGCCGCTAAGTCTTTTTGTATGGTAAAGATAATTCTTTTAAAGACTACATCCATAAATCTAAGGGATCGAAACCATAAATGATATATAATTTTAGATTGGTGGTGCAAATCCAAATATATTTTTTTTTAATTTGAAATCGTAAAAAACTAACAACAGATTAACAATTTTTGCAATTTTGTCTTTGTTTTAAAATCTTTAAGCAAAACTTTGGGTATTTTGCATTAGAGAAGAAAACATCCCTACAAATTCGTGACATAAGTATGTGGATGGTACTAAACCAGCTAGCTAGCACAAGTACACAGGACAATATTAATTAAGAAAATTATTCAAATTCATTTTAAACGTGGTCTTTTCAAAAACTTCATTCAAGTTCATTGAGATTAAGATATATCGTAGTAAACACTTAAACAAAGCAAATATCTCTCGTTAGTAATGTAAACAATATGCATTGATAGCATTCACCACATACAATACACGGGTGAAGGTTACGAGAGATGTTTAATAAATAAGATGATAAAAGGACCACCCCGTGAGGGTTAAAAGATGACAAAATTTAAGGTGGTAAAAGTGGTTTATTTAGTAGACTGTTTCTACTGGCTTGAATTCATTCATTCATTCATATAGTAGTAGACTGTCAACTGCAAAATGTTTCTACTGACCTTGGATCTTCTCTCTCTCTGTGAGAGTTTGAATGGTCATGTCATCTAAAGGTACAGCTTTTTTGTTCATGTCCTCTGAGAGACAATTATTTTCTTAACTTTACATTTTTAGGATGTTTTATGTTTAATTCTAATATTTTTAGCCAAATTCTATAAATAAAAACTAGATATTTTTTTTTTTAAAATAGCTAACTTATACATCCATTAATCTTATTTTAAAAATCTACATATTTGTTAACCACAAGATTTAAACCATTAACTCATTGTGTGATGGACAAATTTTGAACACATATGATATATGGTTTGCCTAGACACAATTTGGTAAATAAAAACTACTTGATTATTCTTTTAATTCTTATTATAAAATTATATACATTCAAAAGAACTCTTAGCAACAACAAACAAGTGTATGATCAAAAGTTAATTATATATTGTAAATTTGTTATATCTTTTGCCAAATAAATACTGCAGAAAAGATAATTATGAGAGAGAGAAAAAATAATGATGGTGATGACTGAGAAAACCCTAAGGAGGCGGAGACGGAGGGATCAATAGTGGGCTTAATGTCCGGGGGGCACAAGTTGCAAAAGATATACAGACATTTATTTTACAAGATTAAATATTTTAGTTACTTTACCATTAATAAATGATATACAAAGATTTTATTGACAATTTAATTAATTATTTTAGGGGATTGTCCAAAAAAAAAAAAGAGTATGACGGTATACCGTATACATGATATGAAATTTATTGTACTTTTTCTTCCATGTTTGGTCTATACAACTGATAAAATTAAGTCACTCCAATATATCTCTGAAAACTTTGATTATTAGTCTATTAAAATTATATTTTGGAGTAGATTTAAAACCAAGAACTTTTCCATTTGAATTTGATAAAATAATAGAAATTCAGAATTTATAAGTTTGAATTGGGGTAAAGTTAAATTTAATTTTTTACAGAGAAAACAAAAAGAAAATGTTTTGTTAAAAGGAAAGCAGTTATTAATTAATTAAAATAAATAAATTCAGAAGAAAGCAACAGATGACTAATGAGAGTAAAGATATATGATCCCATGCAAACGTCCCTTTCGGGCTTCTCTCCCCCACATATCTCTCTCTTTGAAGTTTGAATACATAACACATGTATCCATGTACATATGTCGTATATTAGATATCACAGTCCTTTCCTTCAAAAACGGGCAGCTGCTAAATCGGAAACTTGGTTGCTATCTAAACCATCACCCAAAGGTTTCATGATGTAGATATCTATCTAGCTACATGCTTCTCTTGGGAAGGGAGCAAGAATGTAATATTTGTCTTTTCTTAGTAAAAGACTAAAAGTAAAGCAAAGTTTACCTTTTTTTTTTTGTTAATTCTTTTGTGTGCCGTTTGGAAGGTACTGATCAAGCTTCTTTTTCCATAGCTCTTTCGTATTAATACTTCGTACAACTAGTTAATAACCTATTACCACATGCGTAGAAAGGATAAGTTGGTTGATATATTAACTAATAATAAAGTCGACCGAGTTAAATTATGGGTGCGGATAAGAAAGACATGGAGTACAAGAAGCCAATTTAGTGTACAAGTTAAAACAAGAAGTGATCACGAGGCTTGATCACACTAGATCCAACCTACATATAGGAGATGAGATGATGCGCACTAAAAACAAAATTAATGTACATTTGAATAATGTACACATTCTTACCTATGGCTTTTCATAAAGGCCTTCCAATTTACCTACCATCTTCGTCTAAGGAGAAGAAGATCCAAAAATGAATATATAATTATAATAATCGCAAGGAGTTGCATTACTTGGCTTTATTTTGTTGTCAGCCGAGTTAATCTCTTAAAATAAGTCAAACTATTAATTAGGTCATTTCTAATCATTCCGTTTTATTTTAATTTTGTTAAAACTTACAAAAAGGTTTAGCGACGCAACTTCTTGTCATTTTACCTTTTCATTCATTGTACGATTATAACTAAGATTTATATATTAAAAGCTGAAATGGGGAATATTAATTGCATTCTTTTCCTTAAAAAAAAAATAGAAACATGACTTTGTAAGATATTTGTAAAAGAGTGGATGTGTATCTAAATGCATGTAAATAGGCTAATAACACCATTGTGGATTTGAAAATGGAATTTGGAGCTCCCTAGCTAGACTATTTTCAATCCAAAGATCGTTCTTAATATTAGAATAGGGCTTATAAATGGTTAACCAAAAGAAAATACGTTACATAGAAGAATGTATTTAGAACATGCGTTAATTGATAGTAAAATGATGAGTATATAAATACTATAATTTTGTCATAAATTAAGCCAAAAGAAAAGTGTATGTATATCATGCAAAACATGCATGTATACATACCCGACCCATTCATTATTAGCATTAACGAAACAAAAGAAAAGGAAAATTTGCACTTGTGGGTTCTTATTTCTCTCTCTACTGCACCCCCACCCCTCTTTACCTCTTATCTGCTCCCCTTTTCTTGCTCATCTTAACTCATAAGTCCCCAAAAGCAGATCCAAGGTGGTTGTTAATCTGTCAATTCACTACAATCAATCAACTCAACTCAAATCAATCAATCAATCATACCACTAGGATCCACACCCCACATAAATCTCCAAACAAACTAACCAAAAAACATGTCCATCTCCTCCACCACAACCTCCCCGACCGTACCACAGCTCCTCCACCACCTCCCTCCTCCTTCATGCTCCGATCAGCTCTGCTATGTCCAGTGCACTCACTGCGATACCGTCCTCGCCGTATACTTTCTTTCTTTTTTAACTTCCTTTTTCTGGGTTTCTTTCACCTAGGTTTTATATTGTTATTTACTAATTATTATTATTTTAAATTTTAGGTGAGTGTTCCTTGCACCAGCTTGTTCAAGACAGTGACAGTCCGGTGTGGTCACTGCACGAACCTCCTTCCCTTGAGCATGCCTGGGTTGCTGCTGCCACCATCAGTGAATCAGTTTCATATTAGTCATACTAATTTCTTTTCTCCTTCTAATCATACTCTGCTGGTAATATCGATCATCATTTTCCTTCAAGATTTTAGTTTTATAGTATATAATTAATCGATATTTTTAAACACAACTAATTATGTCAAGTTTCAATGATCTCTTTTCAAGGATGATCAAATTCCGACTGGGGGTTCCAACTTTCTCATCAATCCGAATTACGCAAATGAGTTTTCGTTGACTGCTCGTGGAGGATTTAGGGAGCTTCCAAAACCCCCTGTGACTAATAGACGTAAGTGAGATTCTTTATTTCTTGTCAAGATTGCATCTTTTCTTGATTTCTCTTATATATATATATATGTATGATCATATCATCGCTTCTGGTATTTTGTTTTATTTTTGTTTGTGAGCTCTTACAAAAATACAACTGATCAGCGACTTAAAACGTTATTTAGGTCTTGGCAAATTTTATAAACCACATGGTGAATAATTTTCCAGCCAAAATATATCCGAAGTTAACTTTTTAAAGTTTTAAATAGTTATTTCCAGCATTAAAACTGATTTAGAATTATGTTTAGCCAAGAAAAATCACTGGTAACAATATTGATTAAATATGAAAAAATTATCAAAATGAAATCCTTTAAGCTCAAAAACTGTCTTTTATGTTCTCATCTCTTCGTTTTGTTATGATTTTGTTAATTAACTTCATTTGTCGTGAATGTTTTGTTAAATATTCGCTGGATAAGAAAATTTGGATCGAAATATGTCGCAAATGAACAAGAAACAATATAATATTAGAATAATCCATTATCTATATGCCGTTGGAATTTTTTCCATGAATACTAGTTTGAATTATCAGATATTTTTCTTACAAGCGAGCAAAATTTTATCTTGCAACAATGTAGAAGAAGATACTACACACTCATGAGAGAAGTTATGTTCCTTATAAACTCTCGATCCGAAATAGGATAGTTTCTTAGCATTTACAGAAGCAAATCCAGTGTTTAAAAGAATTAGTTACTTGTTTGTTCCCAATCTGTTTCTCTAAAAAGCTTTAAACATTGAAAGCTTTCCTTTTTACTTATTTCCATGCTCCTCATGTTTAAAATCAAAAGCCACTTTTGTGACATCTCTCTCTCATTCTTTAATTAGTCGGTTTCTTTTGTTTCCCATTCAGTTCCTCCCAAAAGCCCTAATAACTGCATTCACAAACCACAACATATATTTTTTCTTTCTTTAAAAGATTTGAGAGAGAATAATTCTTGAACATCATTGATTCATCCACTACATCAGTATGTACAATTATTAAGTTTTTCACGTCAAGTTTACTTTAGCTTGAACTTTAATTAAACACATTTTATTCAATTTATCTGGTCGAAAAATTATGTTCGCTAGCATCGATCTATATAACTGTAAACAAAAGCATCAGGTAAACAAATAATAAAACATTTTTAATATGGTCACTTGTTTTTGCAAATATAATTTTGGACAGCTGGACATTTACACAAACATATACTACATACAGGCATTTGTTTGTAACAGTGCGAGCTTTTTCTATAAAAAAATATAGGTTATGATTAGTTACATAGTTATAAACAATGTTTAAGCATCTAGCATATCCATGACCAAATAACAAAATATCGTGAACATAAATGTAATACAAAGAGCACATAAATGTAATAAAATCACATATTTGCAAAAATATAAGTTCACTCAATTTAAACTTTATCAAAATAAAACGTTATTACTCCTTTTAATTATAACAACATTAACCAAATATTTGGCTACATAAAATTGTTGGATGTAAATTAGGCATGAAATGTCCCTTAGCAATCAGACATAGAACAGTTCGTGACTATTTCTATCATTTTATGTTATAAAGGTTTAGTCATTATTTTTCTAAGAATATAATAAACCTAGGTAATGTCTTTATTTTATAAACAAAATGATATAATTTATTTTTGGATAATTAAAATATTTATTGTATATCTTCTACAAAACTGTTCAATTGTAAACGAGGGAATGCACATCATTTGAAGACATTTGACATTGATGTTTATTGGTAAATAAGAAATGGTGGGTGAGGTGACAGCATAGATACCCTCGCATTCCTCATTTTACTTTAAATATTGATGAAATAATATAAACAAGAGACAAAGAAAGAGAGATGGAAGAAGAAAAAACAGTAGAAAGTGAAATTTGATGGGTTTGTTTTTGTTAATGTCAGCTCCAGAGAAGAGACAGAGAGTCCCCTCCGCCTACAATCGATTCATCAAGTCAGCTTTCATCATCTCTTTTTCATAATCATAAAATATTCATTATGTTTAAATATATATGGTACATAAAAAAAGAAAATAACCAAATCAAAATGAAATTGAAATGCAGGGAAGAGATTCAAAGGATCAAAGCTGGGAACCCTGACATTAGTCATAGAGAAGCCTTCAGTGCTGCTGCTAAGAATGTAACATTTTCCTCCTTTTTTATAACTTTAGGGTTATTAAAGAGATAACTTTCAGAGTTTATTTTTCTTACATATATTTAATTAAATACACTTTTTCAAACACTAACATCTGAAACTTTTGACTAAAGAATAGAAAATTAGAGACATGGGTTTTGTCAATAATATAAATACAAACATGCATAAAGGTTAACTAGTGTGAAGAGTAGAAGAAGAAAGAATTGACGCTGTACATATATATCGTTTTCCATATTTAAATTTAGAATTGTGTATTTTTTTTTTTTTTTTGATCCTACAGTGGGCCCACTTTCCACACATTCACTTTGGTCTCATGCCTGATCAGACGACTGCTGTGAACAAGAGCAGCATGCGCCAACAGGTACACTGTTCATATGTACCTCTTGAGTCACTCCATTACATGCTCCATATATGAGTAGATCTTAAAAAGCAAAATAAATGAATGCATTACGTTGCAAGACACACTCATTGGATATTGCATTTGATTTGATATTCAAATCTTAAAAAAGGGTTTTAATGCATGTAGGATCACACAGACGGTGGCTTCATGAAAGATGGTTTCTTTGCTTCTGCAAATGTGGGCGTCTCTCCTTACTAGCTACCAACTCTCTCTCTCTCTCTCTCTCTCTCTCTCTCTCTCTCTCTCTCTCTCTCTCTCTCTCTCTCTCTCTCTCTCTCTCTCTCCATAAGTGGTCTGCTGGATATTACTCTAATCCTTCCTTAATTAGGTTTATCCGCAAATGAAGCTTTTATCTACCTTGTACCTTGAAATTTTTAATGTACCAACTGCTTTCAATATCACAGTGCCTCGTGCATCCTCTCTCTCTCTCTCTCTCTCTCTCTCTCTCTCTCTCTCGCTCTCTCTCTCTCTCTCTCTCGCTCTCTCTCTCTCTCTCTGCTCTCTCTCTCTCTCTCTCTCTCTCTCTCTCTCTCTCTCTCTCTCTCTCTCTCTTCTCTCTCTCTCTCTATATATATATATATATATATATATATATATATATATATATATATATATATATATATATATATATATATACACACGTAAACATAGGTGTGGAACCAATCAAAACTACATAGTTTTGGTATAAATCATAATAAATTAATATTTTGATTTCCTTATTTTTAGTATCAAAAGATCTTCCTCACATACCAATTCAAAATCTTTAATCTACTTTCCTTATTATCATCTTTGATTATATTTTTCTTCTCCCGCACTTTAAATTTCTTGCCAATAATTCTGGAAATTCGTTGTTTCCGATCATCACTTTTACTTATAAATTACAAAATAAATGGTTTTAACAGAACACGTGTTTGTATGTTACTTCAAAGAAGACATGGATTATAATTGAATTTAATATACACTAAATAATTTGTATTTACCACGTGTTATACGATTTCAAGTTTGTGTGAATACCATTCACATTTTTTGGTGATTTAATTCCTAAACATATATATTGTAATTGGATTTTACTTTGTAGGGATACATCGACAATTATAAAGTGATTTACTGATGTCAAATAAATAAAAAAATCGAATGCATGAGATGTATGAAATCAAATGATTATGATTTTGAGAAACTGATTTTGTCAAATAAAAAAACGAATACGCAGAGAAGATGAAGTCTGATTATATGAATTTTTAGAAGAAAAGAAAATTTAAGCTAAAAAGGAATAAAATGACGTAGTTTTGATAGGTTCTATACCTAAGGTTAGGTATATAACAGCCTCATATTCACTATCCCGATATATATATATATATATATATATATATATATATATATATATATATATATATATATATATATATATATATATATATATATATATATATATATATATATATATATATATATATATATATATATCAATGAAATTACACACTATTTTATTTAAAGGAAGAGAAGAGAATACTGGAGAACAACGGATATAAAAAAAAATGCTTTTATTTGAAGAAGCGAATCATGAATGACACAACAAGAGCCAAGTTACAGGACACTTTAACAATTTAGATGGCAAAATTCTAATGAGAAACAAGGAAACTGTTCGTATATTATTTTTTAATAATTATTATAGTGATAAAAAGAAAGGAAGAATTGAAATAGAAAACCACAAATCATCAAAACACTAGTTGTGCTAACACAAACTAATAGAAGTACATAAAAATAAATACCCTATTATTTCTTAAATATCATAAAAATAAATTAAAATAAGATGCTAACATAAACTAATAAAAAAAATTGTTATTTTTGCATGTTTGGCTTTGTGGTTTTTTACTCATTAAAAAATTGAAATTTTTTTATTGGAAACTAATACAATAAATTAAAAATTGTATAATGGGTTCTTACCAAAAAGCTTTGAATCTAACATAATGGTGTGTGCCGTTCTTTTATGAGATCGAACGTTCAAATCTCATTTGAAATTATAAAAATAGAATATGAGTATATTTGATTATCTGTTTCAAAATAAATAATTCATAATAATAATAATAATAATGGGTTCTTTTATGTATAATATGATTGAGAAAAAAGACAAGTATATTAAAAAATAATGTATGTGTGAGGAGTACAAGAGAATTTTCCAAGATTCGGACATTAATACGATTATTCAATGTATAATAAGTATATGTTGATCCTCGTTAGGATTTCAGCTACTCTTAAATAATTTGATTAACTTACATCAGGACAAAATTAGGCTATATTCATGTAAACAACCCGTCACTATAGACATTTTATGTCGGCTCTTTTTTTTTTTTTGAAAAACATGAGAGGAAAGGGTTCGTCATTGAAAATAAGTTATATTGTCGTTTAATTATGGTGAATATATAACCTATGAAAACCCGTTATTATAGGTCAAACCTATCATTAAATGGTAGGATGCTGGTAGAAATATATTTATCTCATTTTGAATCGTCATTAGTAATACACCTATAATGATATGCTTTTTCAAATACAGTGATAAATGTTTATTTACGGTGACCGTTTATAAATATTATCGCAACAATTGTTGATCTTTTGAGACACAAGTGTAAATAAGTTGTAAAGATAAGTTAACTTTCCTAAAATGTTTAATCGTGTATCATTACTATTGTTTACATAAACCGACAAATAAAAATTTAAGACATTACTAAAAATGATCTATACTAACATGTTATTTCTCTTATTATGAATATTGATCACTTTTATGACATTTTTAATATCATGTCGTGAAATATTGTAAACGTTTACTCACTCACAAACAATTAAACGGTGAGCATAAAATACTTATAATGATTTGTTTTTTCCAAGGTTGTGAAAAAATCGTCTGACTGTCAACTGGAGATAAGCGATTAATCAGAGTAGACGAGATTAATTGGAGATTAATCGGGGACCCTAAATTATTAATAAAATTATTTAAAAATAAAATATATCCTAAAAAAATAAGTATTAGAAAATTTAAAATTTTAAAATTTGAAATTTTAGTATAATATTTTAAAATTTGAAAACTAAAAAATTTTAAAATTTTAAAATTTTAAAATTTTGGTGTAATATTTGAAAAATAAAAATTTACTTTTTTTTTAAAATATTTCTCACCTATGACCGCAAAACCCGAGTTTGACCGATTCTGTACAATTTCCGTCAAGCACCCTAATCGTAATCGGTTCAAGGTCGCCAAACGATTAATCTCCAGTTAATCGGACGCCAAGGCCGATTTCTGCAACACTGGTTTTTTCATATAAATCGATAAATTTTTACTTACGGTGACTGTTTATAAATATTATTGCGCTAACTGTTGACTTTTGGAGGCACAAATGTAATTAAGATGTAAGGATAAGTTATATTCCTAACATGTTTAATCGTTTATCATTACTATTGTTTACATGCACCGAAAAATAAAAGTTTAATACGTCATAAAAAATGATCTATACTAACATGTGTATTTCTTTTATTATGATTATTGATCACTTTTTAGTGATATATTTAATATTATATCGTGAATATTGTGAACGTTTACTCACTCACAAGCAAATAAACGGTGATCATAAAATACTTATAGTGACGTATTTTTTTTTCATATAAAGTGATTAATGTTTACTTACGGTGACCGTTTATAAATATTATCGCGACCATTTTTGGCTTTTGGAGACACAAATATAATTAAGCTGTAAGGATAAGTTATATTTCCTAACATGTTTAATCGTTTATCATTACTATTGTTTACATACACGGACAAATAAAAGTTTAAGACATCACCAAAAATGATTTATACTAACATGTTATTTCTCTTATTATGATTATTGATCACTTTTAATGACATGTTTAATTTTATATCGTGAATATTGTGAACGTTTAATCACTCACAATAAATTAAACGGTGAACATAAAATACTTATAGTGATGTGTTTTTTCATATAGAGTGATTAATGTTTACTTACAGTGACCGTTTATAAATATTATCGCGACCATTGTTGACTTTTGGAGACAAATGTAATTAAGTTGTAAGAATAAGTTATCTTTCCTAACATGTTTAATCGTTTATCATTAGTATTGTTTACATACAACGACAAATAAAAGTTTAAGACGTCACCAAAAATGACGTATACTAACATGTTATTTATCTTATTATGATTATTGATCACTTTTAGTAACATGTTAAATATGATATTGTGAGTATTTTGTGTATTTACTCACTCACAAACAATTAAACGGTAACTATAAAATACTTATAGTGATGTGTTTTGTACCAAGAATAATTTTAAAGCTATTACTTCAAAATCAAAATGGATATATATTTATACATACAATATTTTTTACAAAACCAATAAACTAAATTCTACCTTTTCTAGTTCTGCTCCTTAGTTCTTTTTGATGAGTTTTGAGCATACAAACAAACCTACGTGTGCATGCAACCCTAAATAATTGGATCTAGGTTTTATCTATTAGACATACAAGCATTGAACACAAAAACTAGAAACCCTAGCATACATCTACTATTTTCGAAATCAACAAAAATAAGGATTATAACACATATATTTATTGTTATACTGTAATAATAATTGATTCCTTGAAGATCTTGACTTTGAGAACAAGTGTACCACCTCTAATGGCTCACAAACACACGAAGCAAGAAGATGAGAGGAGAGAGGAAGGAGGAAGCTCAAAGTTTCGGCCCTTCTAGGGTTTCACAAAGCATGGCCGAAACTTCAAGGGGTGAGGCTCCTTTTATAGTTAAGGTTGCCAGTCCCAAAGGTAGGGTTTGCAGGTGGAAATTAAACTCTAATTTCTAGCTTAAGGCCTAAGCAGCCCATGGACTCACCTTCTCAAGGCCTTGGACGAAAATCCTTAGGGCCTCCCTAGAATTTTTGGCCAATCCTTTTCAAGGTGATCCAAGAGCCCAAACCACAACTATTAATTAATTGCAAATAAGCCCCCGTACTTTTAATTAATTCATTTAATCCCAAAATTAATTCCAAATTAATTTCTGATTATATATTAATTAAACAACATGATTTCTAATTAATATATTATTTTCATAAGACATTAATAAATCATTTAATTCAATTTATTATTCAAATAATAAATTCAACCTCTCTCTCCAAAAGTCATCATGTCTAGTTGCTAGTATGAAGGCAACCCAAAAGGATTGTGCTACTATC